ACCATGCGACTTAATATAGAAACATAGAACACAAGCAACTTGATCATTACACTGACCTAATGTCGCGGGGAGGAGGGTCGATGGTTATACACAATTTGCACCACTGCCACTATTGAGGTGGACTCTTCTCGCGACTTGCAAGTTGCCCCCCACCACGGACAATAATATCAAGAGCTTGCCCCCCACCACGCTCATTAATATCAAGTTGCCCCCCCAATTGGAACACTGATTGTGAGCCAGGTCTCATGCCAAAGGTGTTCAGTAGGGTTGAGTTCAGAGCTCTGTGCAGGACTCTCAAGTTCCTCCCAAAATTGACCTCACACTTGAAACACCTCCAGGATGAGAAGAACTCAGGGTAGTAAGGGCTAAGAGAGAGTACTGTTGTTGTATAGGAAAGACCTTATACCAAAGAATCTTCCAAACGTAGGGTTGAGGTCAAGGCACTGTGCAGGACACACAAGATCCTCCATGTCCTCAAACCTACTGATTACCTTTTGGGGATAATTGAACACTGATTGTGAGACCCAGGTCTCATAGCAAAGGTGTTTCTGTAGGGATAAGCACAGGACCGGCGCGGACCTAATAAAGTGGCCCGTTGAGTTCTATATGGCGGGTTGGATGGAATGAGATCTACACGTTTTTTTTTTTGGCCAACACTGGGACACAACTCCTTCATTGGAATGGTTGGTCGAGGTGGACCTAATAAAGTGGCCCGTGAGTGTCTATATGGCGGGTTGGATGGAATGAGATCTTACACGTTTTTTTTTTGCCAAAACCCTTCACTGGGGATACAACTCCTTCATTTGAAGGGTGGTCTACAGACTTTTTGTCCATGCAGTAGGTGTGATGGTCAGCTTCCTACAAAGAAATACCCGGCTGAGTACCGAGTCCCGTTGTTTCATCCTCCTAGATTTGGAGAGGTGGTCGAGGCAGACCTAAGAAAGTGGCCCGTTGAGTGTCTATAAGGCGGGTTGGATGGAATGAGGTCTACATGTTTTTTTTGAGCCAATACCCTTCACTGGGATACAACTCCTTCATTTGGAGGGTGGTCGAGGTGGACCTAAGAAAGTGGCCCGTTGAGTGTCTAATATAGTGGGTTGGATGGAATGAGGTCTACACGTTTTTTTTTTGGCCAATACCCTTCACTGGGGACACAACTCCTTCATTGGAATGTTTGGTCGAAGGCGGACCTAATAAAGTGGCCCGTTTGAGTGTCTATATGGCGGGTTGGATGGAATGAGGTCTACATGTTTTTTTTGGCCAACACTGGGACACAACTCCTCATCATTTGAGGAGGGGTGGTCTACAGACTTTTGTCCATGCAGTAGGTGTGATGGTCAGGTTCCTACAAAGAATACCCGGCTGAGTACCGAGTCCCGTTGTTTCATCCTCCTAGATTGGAGGGGTGGGTCGAGGCGGACCTAATAAAGTGGCCCGTTGAGTGTCTATAATGGCGGGTTGGATGGAATGAGGTCTACATGGTTTTTTTTGAGCCAATACCCTTCACTGGGGATACAACTCCTTCATTTGGAGGGTGGTCGAGGTGGACCTAAGAAAGTGGCCCGTTGAGTGTCTATATGGCGGGTTGGATGGAATGAGGTCTACATGTTTTTTTTTGGGCCAACACTGGGACACAACTCCTTCATTTGGAGGGGTGGTCTACAGACTTTTGTCCATGCAGTAGGTGTGATGGTCAGGTTCCTACAAAGAATACCCGGCTGAGTACCGAGTCCCGTTGTTTCATCCTCCTAGATTTTGGGAGGGGTGGTCGAGGCGGACCTAATAAAGTGGCCCGTTGAGTGTCTATATGGCGGGTTGGATGGAATGAGGTCTACATGTTTTTTTTGGCCAACACTGGGGACACAACTCCTTCATTGGAATGGTTGGTCGAGGCGGACCTAATAAAGTGGCCCGTTGAGTGTCTATATGGTGGGTTGGATGGAATGAGGTCTACACATGTTTTTTTTTTGGCCAACACTGGGGACACAACTCCCTTCATTTGGAGGGGTGGTCTACAGACTTTTGTCCATGCAGTAGGTGTGATGGTCAGGTTCCTACAAAGAATACCCGCTGAGTACCGAGTCCCGTTGTTTCATCCTCCTAGATTTGGAGGGGTGGTCGAGGCGGACCTAATAAAGTGGCCCGTTTGAGTGTCTATATGGCGGGTTGGATGGAATGAGGTCTACATGATTTTTTTTTGAGCCAATACCCTTCACTGGGGATACAACTCCTTCATTTGGAGGGGTGGTCGAGGTGGACCTAATAAAGTGGCCCGTTGACTGTCTATATGGCGGTTGGATGGAATGAGATCTACACATTTTTTTTTGGGCCAATACCCTTCACTGGGACACAACACTCCTTCATTGGAATGGTTGGTCGAGGCGGACCTAATAAAGTGGCCCGTTGAGTGTCTATATGGTGGGTTGGATGGAATGAGGTCTACACGTTTTTTTTTTTTGGGCCAACACCCTTGTCACTGGGGACACAACTCCTTCATTGGAATGGTTGGTCGAGGCGGACCTAATAAAGTGGCCCGTTGAGTGTCTATATGGCGGGTTGGATGGAATGAGGTCTACATGTTTTTTTGGCCAAACACTGGGGACACAACTCCTTCATTGGAATGGTTGTCGAGGCGGACCTAATAAAGTGGCCCGTTGAGTGTCTATATGGTGGGTTGGATGGAATGAGGTCTACACGTTTTTTTTTTGGCCAACACTGGGGACACAACTCCTTCATTGGAATGGTTGGTCGATGGCGGCGGACCTAATAAAGTGGCCCGTTGAGTGTCTACATGGTGGGTTGGATGAATGAGGTCTACACGTTTTTTTTTGGCCAACACTGGGGACACAACTCCTTCATTTGGAGGGGTGGTCTACAGACTTTTGTCCATGCAGTAGGTGTGATGGTCAGGTTCCTACAAAGAATACCCGGCTGAGTACCGAGTCCCGTTGTTTTTCATCCTCCTAGATTTGGAGGGGTGGTCGAGGCGGACCTAATAAAGTGGCCCGTTGAGTGTCTATATGGCGGGTTGGATGGAATGAGGTCTACATGTTTTTTTTGAGCCAATACCCTTCACTGGGATACAACTCCTTCATTTGGAGGGGTGGTCTACAGACTTTTGTCCATGCAGTAGGTGTGATGGTCAGGTTTCCTACAAAGAATAACCCGGCTGAGTACCCGAGTCCCGTTGTTTCATCCTCCTAGATTTGGAGGGGTGGTCGAGGTGGACCTAAGAAAGTGGCCCCTTGAGTGTCTATATAGTGGGTTGGATGGAATGAGGTCTACATGGTTTTTTTTTGAGCCCAATACCCTTCACTGGGGATACACTCCTTCATTTGGAGGGGGTCGAGGTGGACCTAAGAAAGTGGCCCGTTGAGTGTCTATATGGCGGGTTGGATGGAATGAGGTCTACTACATAGAATTTTTTTTGGCCAACACTGGGACACAACTCCTTCATTTGAGGGGTGGTCTACAGACTTTTGTCCATGCAGTAGGTGTGATGGTCAGGTTCCTACAAAGAATACCCGACTGAGTACCGAGTCCCGTTGTTTCATCCTCCTAGATTTGGAGGGGTGGTCGAGGCGGACCTAATAAAGTGGCCCGGTGAGTGTCTATATGGTGGGTTGGATGGAATGAGGTCTACAAACGTTTTTTTTTTGGGCCAATACCCTTCACTGGGGGACAAAACTCCTTCATTGGAATGGTTGGTCGAGGCGGACCTAATAAAGTGGCCCGTTGACTGTCTATATGGCGGGTTGGATGGAATGAGATCTACACATTTTTTTTGGGCCAATACCCTTCACTGGGGACACAACTCCTTCTTGGAATGGTTGGTCGAGCGGACCTAATAAAGTGGCCCGTACGAGTGTCATGCATATGGTGGGTTGGATGGAATGAGGTCTACAAACGTTTTTTTTTTGGGCCAACACCCTTCACTGGGGACACAACTCCTTCATTGGAATGGTTGGTCGAGGCGGACCTAATAAAGTGGCCCGGTTGACTGTCTATATGGCGAGGGTTGGATGGAATGAGATCTACCAACATTTTTTTTGTGGGCCAATACCCTTCACTGGGGATACAAAACTTATTCATTTGGAGGGGTGGTCGAGGTGGACCTAAGAAAGTGGCCCGTCATGAGTGTCTATATGGTGGGTTGGATGGAATGAGGTCTACACGTTTTTTTTTTTTTTTTTTGGGCCAACACCCTTCACTGGGGACACAACTCCTTCATTGGAATGGTTGGTCGAGGCGGACCTAATAAAGTGGCCCGTTGACTGTCTATATGGCGGGTGGGATGGGAATGAGGTCTACACGTTTTTTTTTTGGCCAACACTGGGACACAACTCCTTCATTTGAAGGGGTGGTCTACAGACTTTTGTCCATGCAGTAGGTGTGAAAGTCAGGTTCCTACAAAGAATACCCGACTGAGTACCGAGTCCACCAACGCAGCTCCATCGTTTCATCCTCCTAGAACCTCCTAGAGGCCCCCAAAATGCTCTTCTATTCCGGATTCATCCATCCCTATCGAAAAAAAGGTGGAAATCCTTCGTTGCGTAGAAGCTGCCGTCCAAAATTCAGATTCTCTCCATTCCCCCATCCCCCACCGCCATACAATTGGACGATCATAATATTAAAAAATAACAACAAAGCAAACCTCGGGGGGGGGGGGGGGCGCTACTAATCCCCCATCCGAAGCCTCATTGGCCAGCAGACAGACGGGATTCGTAGCGCAGACGACATTACACCGGAGACGCGCAGGGGTGAACTCATTTCAACTTTCGCTCGCAGCGCCGCGTTTTCACAGGTATCGGGGGTTTGTTTTTTTTCACTTTTTTTTTTTTTTTGGGGCGTTCCGTCTAAACGTTCCGCTCACGACGTGTGTAATGAACTGTCAGCACCAGAAAACGCCGCGGTCACCGCGCCCGTGGATACTGAGTCACCGCGGATCCCGATCACACACACGCATCCTCTCCGTGTGACACCGGTATTTCCCTCGTTATCCCGCAACCCCCCCCCCCCCCCCCCCCGCCGCAATCACAACGCTCACAGACACAGGCCTGTTGCCATGGAAACTCCGGGATGTGGTGTCACAACTGCCGCGTCTGAGGGAGGAAACGAGGAGGGAAGAGATAAATACTCAGAGAAATAAATAATAAAATAAATGTAAAAAAAAAAAAAAAAGGGGGGGGGATGGGCAGACGACGAAGGGTTGGGGGGGTTATGGACACAGAGCGTGGAGTGCGTTTGGGAACAATTGGTGATGTCGCCCCGAAAACGCTGGGACCCCCTGGAAGTTTTGATGTGTGATATTGAACCTGTACTGGTTTCAATGTTCAGGAATGCAACGCATGGGCCGGGGGGGGGGGTCGGAGGGGCTAGGACCCCATAAAAAAAAACACATACGTTGCTGCAAAGTGCATCAGCACACCATACATGGTTACCATTCACTTTAAATGGCTCTGACCCCATCCACGTGGCACCCATGCTGCGACACTTGACCCATTGGTGTCAGTGGAGGAATAGTGCCCCATCATTGGTGTCAGTGGGAGGAATAGTGCCCCGTCATTGGTGTCAGTGTGGAGGAATAGTGTCCCCTCATTGGTATGTAGTGGGAGGAAATAGTACCCCATCATTGGTGTCAGTGGGAGGAATAATGCCCCATCATTGGTGTCAGTGGGAGGAATAGTGCCCCATCATTGGTGTCAGTGGGAGGAATAGTGCCCCATCATTGGTGTCAGTGGGAGGAATATTGCCCCCATCATTGGTGTCAGTGGGAGGAATAGTGCCCGTCATTGGTGTCAGTGGGAGAATAGTGCCCCGTCATTGGTGTCAGTGGGAGGAATAGTGTCCCCTCATTTGGTATTAGTGGGAGGAATAGTGCCCCATCATTGGTGTCAGTGGAGGAATATTTGCCCCATCATTGGTGTCAGTGGGAGGAATAGTGCCCCATCATTGGTGTCAGTGGGAGGAATAGTGCCCCATCATTGGTGTCAGTGGGAGGAATAGTGTCCCATCATTGGTGTCAGTGGGAGGAATAGTGCCCCATCATTGGTGTCAGTGGGAGGAATAGTTCCCCATCATTGGTGTCAGTGGGAGGAATAGTGCCCCATCATTGGTGTCAGTGGGAGGAATAGTGCCCCATCATTGGTGTCAGTGGGAGGAATAGTGCCCCATCATTGGTGTCAGTGGGAGGAATAGTGCCCCATCATGGTGTCAGTGGGAGGAATAGTGCCCCATCATTGGTGTCAGTGGAAGAATAGTGCCCCATCATTGGTGTCAGTGGGAGGAATAGTGCCCCATCATTGGTGTCAGTGGGAGGAATAGTGCCCATCATTGGTGTCAGTGGGAGGAATAGTGCCCCATCATTGGTGTCAGTGGAGGAATAGTGCCCCATCATTGGTGTCAGTGGGAGGAATAGTGTCCCATCATTGGTGTCAGTGGGAGGAATAGTGTCCCATCATTGGTATCAGTGGGAGGAATAGTGCCCCATCATTGGTATCAGTGGAAGGAATAGTGTCCCATCATTGGTGTCAGTGGGAGGAATAGTGCCCCATCATTGGTGTCAGTGGGAGGAATAGTGCCCCATCATTGGTGTCAGTGGGAGGAATAGTGCCCCCATCATTGGTGTCAGTGGGAGGAATAGTGCCCCCATCATTGGTGTCAGTGGGAGGAATAGTGCCCCATCATTGGTGTCAGTGGGAGGAATAGTGCCCCATCATTGGTGTCAGTGGGAGGAATAGTGCCCATCATTGTGTCAGTGGGAGGAATAGTGCCCATCATTGGTGTCAGTGTAGGAATAGTGTCCCATCATTGGTGTCAGTGGGAGGAATAGTGCCCCATCATTGGTGTCAGTGGGAGGAATAGTGCCCCATCATTGGTATCAGTGGGAGGAATAGTGCCCCATCATTGGTATCAGTGGAAGGAATAGTGCCCCATCATTGGTGTCCAGTGGGAGGAATAGTACCGCCATCATAGGTGGTCAATGGGAGGAATAGTGCCTCATCATTGGTGTCAGTGGAAGGAATTAGTGCCCCATCATTGGTGTCAGTGGGAGGAATAGTGCCTCATCATTGGTGTCAGTGGGAGGAATAGTGTCCCATCATTGGTGTCAGTGGGAGGATAATCGCAAGCAAAGGGCCACAATTTGGAGACCACGGATGTAAAGTATATTCTGAGTTGATTCCATTATCCTCACTGGAGCATTTCCTCAGTCTCCCCCTCCCCCAGTGATCAGACTGTACATTGTAACTTTGTAGGCAGTCACAAGGTAAGAGGCGGCAGCAGGGGCCTGATCTGTGTCAGACATTTGTGAACACCAAGCACTGGCACCAGAATTCATGATTGTGTTCCAGAAGTAGATGATGACACTGGATGATGGCTGGACAACGATGGCGCCCCCTTCTGGTGAGATGCCGGCACTGTCAGGGGGAGGACTGTGAGAGGTCATGAATACCTGGGGGCGGGACACATTTGTGAGCATGCTGCGCATTATATGCGATGACAGGTCCTCCTTATCGCCATGGGAACTGACCGCCAACCTACAGATTCCGGGTTCATTCTCCCAGATGTGAGGGAGACTCCCGTTCCTCCTGCTGAACCCGCTGGGTGGATCCTCCCTGTGTTGGGGGTTGCAGCGCCCCATCCCTGTCTGGGAGGATAATTCCTGATTCCCCCGCCGGCTGGTAACAGTTATTAATCTGAGTAATGGTGAGCCCCCCCCCCCCCAGAGGATGAGTACCCCCCCCCCCCCAGAGGATGAGTCCCCCCCCCAGAGGATGAGTCCGTCCCCCCCCAGAGGATGAGTCCCCCCCCCCCAGAGGATGGTTCCCCCCCCCCCGGATTACAGCTCATCTCATCATGTTCAGGGACGACTCCGAAAACCAGCGCACTAAGCTTGCTGACATCAGTGTCCCCATCAGAGCCCCCCTTACATCATGGTCCCCATCGGAGCCCCCCTTACCTCAGAGTCCCCATCGGAGCCCCCCAGAGGATTACCTCAGTGTCCCCATCGGAGCCCCCCTTACCTCAGTGTCCCCCCCCCATCGGAGATTCCCCCCCTTACATCAGGGTCCCCATCGGAGCCCCCCTTACATCAGTGTTCCCATCAGAGTCCCCCCCCCCCTTACATCAGAGTCCCCATCAGAGCCCCCCTTATATCAGAGTCCCCATCAGAGCCCCCCTTACAACAGGGTCCCCATCAGAGCCCCCCCTTACAACAGGTCCCCATCAGAGCCCCCCTTACAACAGGGTCCCCATCAGAGCCCCCCTTACACCAGGGTCCCCATCAGAGCCCCCCCTTACATCAGTTTTCCCATCAGAGCCCCCCTTACATCAGAGTCCCCATCAGAGCCCCCCTTACATCAAGTTCCTATCAGAGCCCCCCTTACAACAGGGTCCCATCAGAGCCCCCCCTTACATCAGGGTCCCCATCAGAGCCCCCCTTACAACAGGGTCCCCATCAGAGCCCCCCTTACATCAGGTCCCCATCGGAGCCCCCCCTTACATCAGGTCCCATCGGAGCCCCCCTTACATCAGAGTCCTCATCAGAGTAGCAGAGGACCGGATCTGTGTGTCGGATGTCTTCACAGAAAGTCGCAGGATTTCAGAGTCGGGGATCGGTGTCGCCGGTCGCCCCGCTGCGATTTCTGAAGACTTTATTGCGACTTGTGAAGACTTTCATCGATTTCTCGCGATTCGCGGAGCGATCTCCATTCTACTCTGTGAAATCGCAACAAAGCCGCAGAAAGTCACGCAAGAACGACTTTAGAAATTGCGCCGCAGCAAATCGCACGTTCAGACGCCGACATTCACATTAGATGCGATTTCAATTGTGCCCTATGGGGGAGGGGGGTTAATCCTCGCTCAGTGATTGGACGGGTACTGCCCCCCCCCCCATGTTTTTCCTGATTTGTCGGTTTTGCGTCGTCCTGCGTCGCTGCGTCTCGCTTTCTGCGTCCGATCCGCCTCTTCTGTTTCCCCGACCAGAAGGAGCAGCTGGAGGAAGGGCTGGAAATGGCGCATCGAGTGACACCGAAGGGATTGTTGGAGAGGAGGATTATAACTGACTCCAGAGCGAGCGAAGGGGGGGAGGGGAGTGACACCCAGGGGGGGGGGGGGGTGACACCATGAGTCCCAGACGTCACATTTCCTGTCTGCGGAGGAATAGGAAGAGCCGCCGGGACGCTCTATTGAAGCAGAAAAAAATGTTTATTGAAATGTATCCACAAAGGACAATAAATCCACTTTGTGAGCAACGAACCCCATGACAAAGCCAGATATTACCCTGTAAAAGTAGCAGTGACACCATCAGAGAGCAGGCTCCACCCACCGCAGGAAACTACAGGACGGGGCGGCAACATGACCGCTTACCCCGCACAAGGAGAGAGTAGAAGTTCGATCGATCCTCCTATTGTTTTATCCTTCGATCGATTCTTCTATTGTTCGATCCTTCCATCCTACGATCGATTGTTCCATTGTTCGATCCTTCCATCCTACGATCGATTGTTCCATTGTTCGATCCTTCCTTCCTTCCATCGAGTATTCCATTGTTCGATCCTTCCTTCCATCGAGTATTCCATTGTTCGATCCTTCCTTCCTTCGATCGATTGTACCATTGTTCGATCCTTCCATCGAGTATTCCATTGTTCGATCCTTCCTTCCTTCCTTCAATCGATCCCTTTCTTTTCTTTTATCCTTCCCTCATTTAATCGATCCTTCTATAGTTTGTTCCTTCTTTGGGATCGATCGTTCCATTGTTTGATCCTTCAATTGATCGGTCCTTGCATTGTTTTATCCTTCCTTCGATCGAGTGTTCCATTGTTCCATTGTTCGATCCTTCCTTCCTTCGATCGATTGTTCCATTGTTCGATCCTTCCTTTGATCGATTGTTACATTGTTCGATCCTTCCTTTGATCGATTGTTCCATTGTTCGATCCTTCCTTCCTTCCTTCGATCAATTGTTCCATTGTTCGATCCTTCGATCGAGTATTCCATTGTTCAATCCTTCCTTCGATCGATTGTTACATTGTTCGATCGATCCTTCCTTTGATCGATTGTTACATTGTTCGATCCTTCCTTCGATCGATTGTTACATTGTTCGATCCTTCCTTCGATCGATTGTTACATTGTTCGATCCTTCCTTTGATCGATTGTTACATTGTTCGATCCTTCCTTTCGATCGATTGTTACATTGTTCGATCCTTCCTTTGATCGATCAAGCCTTCCATTGTTTTATCCTTCCTTGGGATCGATCATTTCATTGTTTGATCCTTCCCTAATTTAATTGATCCTCTATAGTTTGTTCCTTCCTTGGGATCGATCGTTCCATTGTTTGATCCTTCGATCAATTGTTCAATTGTTTGATCCTTCCTTCGATCGATTGTTACATTGTTTCATCCTTCCATCCTTCGAGTGTTCCATTGTTCGATCTTTCCTTCCTTCGATCGATTGTTCCATTGTTCGATCCTTCCTTCGATCAATTGTTCCATTGTTTTATCCTTCGATCGAGTGTTTCCATTGTTCGATCCTTCCTTCGTTCGATTGTTCCATTGTTCGATTCTTCCTTCCATCTAGTGTTCCATTGTTTGATCCTTCCTTCGATCGATTCTTCTATTGTTTGATCCTTCCTTCCTTCGATCGATCGATTGTTCCATTGTTCGATCCTTCCTTCGATCGATCGATTGTTCCATTGTTCGATTCTTCCTTCCTTCGATTGTTCC